TTCTGTGTCTCCCTCTCTCTCTCTGCCCCTCCCTCACTCACGCTTTGTCTCTCACTGTCTCTGAAAAATGAATAAACCTTAAAGAAAATTAAGAAAGATTTCTACAGACCTCAGTAGTCAGTGCTTTTCCAAATGTGCGTTACTGCATTATTTAAAAATAATAAAATTATGTAACTTGGAAAAGACTGACCTTTACCCTCCAATTGATTCAAATTTGAGAGCCTTTATTCTTATTCTTTTCTTTATTCTTATTCTTACACCAACATTCCCCCGGGTAGTACTCCCAAGTGAGTTTATCTGAGGTGGAAAAAAGTAACTCGCGGAAAGAGAAACTTCTGCTATCTGATGTTATAACAGATACACCAGGCTTCCTTTCTACCTAATTTCTGTATGAGAAAATTGTTATCCATTTCCATGACGCCAAATGGCGATAACGCTTGGAAACCAGCGGTGCCTACCTGAGTGACGTCCATTCCTGAGTCACAGCTCAGTGGCTGTGTGGAAGTCAGACCGTTTGAGCCGATTACAGTTGTGACCACAGCATTGTCATCAATTCTCCGAATCATGGTCCCATCCACAAAGTAAATGAATCCATGCCTATCAACCGTGATGCCTGGTGGGAAGAAGCAAATGAGCATTAGTAGTCTAGTGGGCCACATTTGCACCAAGATCAGTATTTTGAAAGAAGCCATAGAAACGGAAGAGCATTTTAAAGACATATGGATTCAATTTTGCTCAGCACAGCCAGGACAGTAATGGGAGAGGTTTGTTCAGACACACATTCACTTCTTTGTGTACTGAGAAGAAATGATAAAACGTAACGGGGAAATAAAGCCAGGTCTAACCATTTTGTGTTGTGTAGTTTTACATTTCTGCCCCCTAATACTTGCTTACCCCCACAAACAGAAAAAAAAATCCCCTTTAAGATAAGTGGGAAGAGACCGGGGAGGCAGCATATATTACACTTCTTTTAGCGTGCAGATGCATAGGCCACCGCTTATTTTCATGGTTGCATTAGAAATAAGTGACTTGGAAGGTATTAAAGTTATTTTCATCAATTCACACTCAGCTCACAGAGAGTCTGTAATAATTCTGATAAGCTGGACTGTGTTTTTTTCTCTATATTATCTGTTAAGAGTTTGGAAAGCAAAATTATGGTGTCACAAAGGGAATGGTCAAACTTCTAGAAAAAATGAAAGCCGATAAAATTCTCACGGTAGTTTTTACACGTTAATTACAGCCTGGTGTTTTGGAAAATATATAATAGTGGGTAGGAGGCTTGGGTTCTAATACTGATACATCACTTAAAACTCCTACGTGACTTCGGTTGTCATTTGTCTCTCCAAATTTTAACCTCCTCTTTGGTAAAGTATGGAAAAGATAATCTGCTTGTGATATTGTGATTTATAATAGGAAATACGTATTTGGCCTTCTTCCCAGTTTGTAACACAGAGCTGCTAAAACTTTGCAAATTTCTAAAGTGGCAAGAGAGACAAAGGTGTCTTTTATTACGCTAACGAGGGGACGTTTGGACTGCATCTGAAGATGGGTTGGTTGCCAGGAGAACCATTCATGAATAGAGGGTTGGTACTTTGAGTCCCACCCCCAGACCTCTGGGGAGGGGAGAGGGGCTGGGGACTGAGGTCAGTCTCCAATAGTCAATGATTTAATCAACCACACCTATGTAATAAATAAAGCCTCTATTAAAAACCCAAAAGTTCAGGCTTTGCAGAGTTTCTAGGTTGGTGAACACATGGAGATTTGAGGAGAGTGGTGTGCCTGGAGAGGGCACGGAGGCTCCACACCCTTTCGCACACACCTTGCCCTATGCGTCTCTTCCATCTTGGCTGTTCCTGAGTTATATCCTTTTGTAATAAGCCGGTGATCCCATAAGTGAAATGTTTCTCTGAGTTCTGTGAGCCCCTCTGGCTCATTAATTGAACCCAAGGAGGGGATCATTGGAACCTCCAATCTATAGCTGGTGACAACCTGGACTTTCGGTTGGCATCTGAAGAGGGTGTGTACGTTGTGGGGGCAGTTTTGTGGGCCTGAGCCCCTCACCTGTGGGAGTGGACTTTCTCTGGGTGGATAGTGTCAGAATTGAGTGAAACTGTAGGATACTCAGCTGGTATCCGAGAACTGCTCTGCTGGTGGTGTCGGGGGACCCCCCCCCCCTCCCAACACTGGAAATTGGTCTCAGAACGTTGATTACTGCCTTACCTAAGCAAAGGTGAGCAACTGTCTTAGTTTGGGATTGAGGCAGGGTTCAGTTTTAAAACTGGGACAGTCCTGGCCAAACTGGGATGAGTTGGTTACTCTTCGCCTAGGTTGTTATAAATATCATATGAAATAATACATTTAAAAAGTGTCAGACATATATAAAGAACATATGGTGTTCCTGCTTCCCTTGGTGCTTTTGACAGTGCTCTTGAAAATAACCACATGGCATTACTTTAACACTAGTCTACAATTTAGTCTTTTCTGATCTCTCCTTTATCCAGACCTTGTGAGACACAGAATGCATATTAAAGTTGGGAACATCTGTGACAACAAGCATGTCCTTTTAGTGTGTGTTCACGCACACACACACACATTCACACACCCGATCATTTTCCGGGCCAACAGTGAACTCACCTAAAGACAGTTTATAAACCCAACTTAATGAACTGCTTTCAGATGAACTAATTTGTTGGCAGGAGGTTAATGTTAGACTTGGCTTCATGGTGTACTTTGATTAATCCTGATGTTCCTCATGAAGTATTAATCCTTAGCATCTATAAAAGTTACAGATTCATTTTCACTTTCCCCGAATGTCTCTAAAGTCATGTATGTTTTTGGAGAGTTCTCCAAGGAAACTAGCATGTCCAAACAAGGGGAATTTCGTGTCAGTAAGTCCCCTTTTCAATTTTAGATGCATAAGGACCTTTCAGCAGGTTTCTAAAAGAGACTTTTAAGATTGAGCAGGTCAAAGGATGACACCACATGAACAGTTCTTCCATCTCCAGAACATGTGGACTAATGATGAACCAAGGCATACCTCTGCTTTTTATTTTTGTTTTTGTTTTGGCAAACTCAAAGCCTCCAATGCTTAGTGTTTGGTCTGCCCTGTGGCAGGCAGGCCTATGATTACCTTCTATGACCTCTGTATTAAATTATCAGTGAGTGTGAAATTTAAAATTTGGTTGTCATAAGAAGATGGGCTGAAAGATCATGACTCAAGTCTGGAGAGAGAAAGGCTGAGAGCAGTTCAGCTTGAAGTGTCTGAAATCATGAATTATTTACCAAACACATACTGAATGTCACTCTGCCAAGTTCTGTGAAGGCCAAGGGACAAAGAATCCAGGTGCACAGAAACTAAGAGCAATACCGTGGAAGTGTTGCTCCAACGAGAAGGCAGTAAATTTAGAGATTCTAACCCTTTGAAAGTTGGAACAGATTCACAAAAGGTATAGAGAAAGAAATGAATTCCTACAGGAACTAGTGTATTTGGGGAGCTCTTTATCTTGATGTGGACACCAGGGAGGACAGTTCTGTTCCTGTGACCACTACATTCCTCATCCTCATCAGAGGGTGAAGTTTGTGCTGATCCAGGGAGGATAATCCTGGACTTTACATGGTTTTCCACTTTTAGCTTTTGTTAACTTCTAAACACTGTGAACCGCTTTCTCTCTGTTCATGTCAGCTGAGTTCCACAGATGAGGCTTATTAAATACTCACTAGTGGCCTTCGGGGCTTATTTGGCTGACCGTTTGTCGGATATTTTTCCATATATTTGTGCAGCCGTTTCTTTCATCATGGTCCAAATTCCAAAAGACTCCATTATCCTGGAGACTCTTTAATTAAATTTGATTGGGTTATATTTATGTGTGGAGTTGAAAAAGAAGTAGTAGGAAGGTCTTCGAGGAGCTGTGTGATAGATGCTTTACGAGTGCATCAGGGTACATTTTATATGTACATATTTTCATTTCTTCTCACTTTCCTTCCCCAACCAACCAACACACACACACACACACACACACACACACACACACAGACACACAGACACACAGACACAGACACAGACACACACACGCAGAGATTCCCCAAACAACTAGTTTTAGAAACTCTTCACTGGTGAGGTTTAAGGGGCATTTAATTTTCACTGTGGTTGAAAACCAAACTGGAAATCCCAGGCAGGAAAAGGAATTATTTTTGCCATTACTTGGAAGGGGGTGGTCTCCCCTCCATAATGAGTATTGTTACAGCCCTGGGGTGTCAATGATGCAGTCAGCATGATCTATTACCATTTGTTAGGCTGAGTGGGAGAAGGTGGCACATGCCCAGTATATTTTAAGCTTTATTTTTTCAGAGATGGAGATGTGAATGATTTCGGAGCACATAAAGCCATCTGGGGCTAGCAAGATCTGCAGATTCAATTAACTTTCATATTTTGATATTGTTGTACCCAGATTTCCAAAATGTGGTACCTAATGTTGTGGGCAGAGTTCGTTCCAACGGCCACATCCATTGATGTGCTTACTGCCAGCATTTTCCTTACCACTGAAAACACAATGGAAGGCACAGTCTTTGTTTGGCTAAGAAAGGAATTAAACTGCATTGAGAGAACCACTTCCAGGGTTTAAAATTTTAACCACTATTCATTTCTACAGCAAGCAAAAAAAGATAGATCTTGGAGATTACCACAAGGTGAGGCAGTGGCTGGGAGTGGAGGCGGGAAGAGTACCACAGATAGCTTGAGTTCCCACCCCACCCTACCTCCAGCAAGGAAAACATCGGGCTCAGACACCCAGACAGCGTGTTTAGCTTGGAGCACATTTTTACATTTGTGAGAAAATAAATAAATCCTTGTAAATTAGTGCATATAATGAAAGCACTGACAGACCATAACCTGGAAGTGTGAATGGTGCTGTCTCCATTCATCAGCATTAAGCCCTAACAAGCTCTTTCTATGGAGGGACCTGCTCATAAATAAAGTGCATCTTGTAAAAAAATTATTCACAATGTCTTATGCAAAGTAGGGGACATTATATAATATCTGAACTGCAGGCTCTTTTCTCTGTGAAGCATAGCTCTGTATGAAACAGCTGCAAATTACAGGCGAAATTATTTGACTTCTTCCCTTGTCTTATTATCCTCCAATGAATAAATGCTATAATTCTTAAGAAGACAATTGCCTAAAGCTGGGGCAGCCTGGATAGTTACTAATAAATGTATCACCTGTTGGGGAAGAGGCACTGCTGATCAATACTGAAACAGCAGGGATTTCCTGATGTGAGGTCACGGGGAGCCCAGATGTGGAGGTTAATAGCTTGGAAATAGTAGCTAAAATCCCAAATTAGGTAACAGCAAAGATCAGAGTATTTGGCCGTGCAGAATGCCAATTTCAAACGTTGGCAGAAGGCATGTTTGTATTTAATTTATAAAAATTACAGCTGTTGAGGCCACCTACATTTTTATTATTTCTATCTTAAAAGTGAATCTTCTTTTGAATATAAGCTATGGAAAGCAGTCATAAAATTCTCTCCATCTGCAGCCCTAGCAACCAGAAAACGAAAATACTAGTTTTTCCCCCTTGACACAATGTGCTCTTTAATTTTATGATACAGAGATAAA